AGAGGAGCCTGGCGGGCTACAGTCTATGGGGTTGCAAACAGTTGGACTCAGTTGGACTGAGTGACTAACACTTTCACACTTTCAATCCCATTAATGAGGGATCCTCCCTCTTGACCTAATTACCCTCCCAAAGGCCCCACCTCCAAATGCCATCACATGAGGCAGGCTAGGTAAAATGGATTTTTTTTGGGGGGGATGGGGGATACAAACATTCAGCACTCCCCAAAGAAGGTAGTTTTTACCATTCAAATCATATCAACCTCAGCTTTGACATTTTTAAAAAAACAGAGATTTCCAAGTCAGCTTGAGTTCATCTGACATAAGCAAAACTATTTACTTTCCTGAAAAAGCCCCTTTTACACCAATGTGGTTTAAGTTTAGCCCATGCATGTCTGCCTCACATTTCTCTCATATGAGTAAGCCTTGAGAATGCAGAATTCCGCAGTATGCACAACTGGGTTAAAAAACTTTCGGGGGGGGGAGGCAACAATTTGTATGTACAGGTAAGTATTTGCTTCTACATGAATAGACTACTGTCTATTCCTGTTGCTGTTCTAACAAATTACTGTAATTTAGTGTCTTCAAACTGCAGGAACGTATTCTCCTAGAGTTCTGGAAGCCAGAGGTCCAAAACGAGCTGAAACCAAGGTGTCTGCAGAGACTCGTTCTCTCTGTAAACTCTAGGGACTCTAGAAAGGGGTTTCCTTGCCTTTCTAGCTTCTGAAGCTACAGTCCCTGCATTCTTTGGTTCATGGCCCTTCTTCACGTTCTGATCCAGCCACATAGCATCTTCAAGTCTCTAGAGAGATGCTTCAGTGCTCAAGTGGCCTTCTGTGACCAAGTCTCCCTCTGTCTTATAAAGACACTTGTGATCGCATCTAGGGCACATCCAGATAATCCAGGCTAATCTCATTTCAAAATTCACATTGCCAAACATCACATGGTTAATAAATGAATAACTTGGATTTGGGCCCAGGCAGACACTGCAGTATGCTATTCTAGTCTTTTTTTTTTTTTTAACAAAGTGCTAGTTGACACTCACCAAATTGATCTCACAACAAATGGGCTGCAACTTATTGAATAAACAGCCAAGAGACTGTAGATTCCACAGGAATAGAAACCTCTGTTTTACTCATTACTGCGTTCTAGGACCTCTCACTTTGATAGACACAAAGTAAGTTCTCAATAAACAGCTGATGAAAGAGCCTCTATTGTAATAATATGATCTTAAACCTGGAAGGAACTGAGAAATTACCCAGCAAATGATATTAACTAGCACTCTCACTTAGGTGTTTCACATGCCATTTATCCTGTGGACACAGAATGTTACCTGCTGTATCAGTAAAGAAAGGATGTTGTGGCCATCAAGTCATCAGCCACTGCACACCCTGAGGGGATTCAGGATGGGGGAAAATAGGATACTGGCCCTACATAGTTAATGTACACATCAAAGGGTTGATTTCAATAAGCCCAGACTCTTGCCTCTTTCCATATCTAGAAAAGCACTAAATTCACTAACTTGAGATGATTGGTTTTCTTTCAGTTCAGTCAGTCGTGTCTGACTCTTTGCGACCCCATGGACTGCAGCATGCCAGGCTTCCCTGTCCATCACCAATTCCCAGGGCTTGCTGAAACTCAAACTCCCAGAGCTTGCTCAAACTCATGTCCATCGAGTCAGTGATGCCATCCAACCATCTCATCCTGTCGATTAACTGTAATCTTTTGACACTCTGACTTCCTAGGTGTTTTGCAAAAACCGCTCTCTATCCTAGCTCCACCGTTACATCTTCAGAACTGTCCCTCAGAGTCTGAGAGGCTGTCTTCTTGGCCTCGGTCCTCAGTATGTCCATTGAATAAAAACATAATTCTCAACTTTTAGATTGTGCATTTCTTTTTTCCAGTTGAGAACCCAGTGGTCAATAGTAAGTGTGACGACAGAGCACAGGGTGTTGTGTGTTGTTGTTGTTAATTTTATTTACTTATTTTTGGCTGTGTTGGATCTTGGCTGCTGCGTGTAGGCTTTCTCTCATTGTGGTGAGCAGGGGCTACCCTCTAATTGCGATACTTGGGCTTCTCATGGCAGTGGATTTTCTTATTTCAGAGCATGGGCGTTAGGACACCACATGGGCTAGCTATCTCGTGGCATTTGGGATCTTCCAGGACGAGGGATAGTCCCCTGCATTGGCAGGCAGATTCTTAACCACTGGACCACCAGCAAAGTCCTGTTTGTTTTTACTATTTCCTCCTTTGTTCATTTATTCAAAACTATTTGGGCACTTACAAATCTCAAACTGAAATAATTAAATAAAACAAAAACACGAGTTGCAGAGGAGTATGTAATGTCTAGTTCCACACTGTAAACAGTATTTAGGATATATATTTAGCATATAGTAAATATGGAGTAATGTATACCAAATTCATATGTTCCAATAAACGGATTGGGGTAAATGTTATGTTTTATATTTCCATGTTATTTGAATTTTACAAAGCAAATGTATTTCTTTTACAATTATAAAGATGCAATGAGGACTTCCCTGATGGTCCTGGGGTTCGGACTCTGCGATCCCAATGCAGAGGCCTGGGTTTCATCCCCGGTCAGGGAACTAGATCCTACATGCTGCACCAACAGTTCACATGTTGCAACTAAAGATCCCGCATGCCACAAGTAAGACCTGGCACAGCCAAATAAGTATTTTTTAAAAACCGCAGTGAATATTTTAAGAAAAACCTTTTAACTCTTTCTTTAACTGCAGTATCTGACAGCTCTTGACTTATCCATTTCTTTCATTTTTCTTTGGCTGCTCAGCAAGCAGGATCTTAGTTTCCCACCCAGGATGGAATTCCTGCCCCCTACAGAGGAATCTCGGAGGCTTAACTCCTGGACCACCAGGGAAGTCCCAACTTACTCATTTCTATATCCTGCTAATTAGCCCAAGGCCCAGCTCAAGGTCGATATAGATACAGGAGCAAAGACTGTATGAGAAAGGACTCTTTTTTTTTTTTTTTTGAGAAAGGACTCTTTTTATCAGAATGAAGGGTGATAATTTTCAGTGTAAATCCCCAAAGTACAAATCGTCATTTCATTAAGTGTTAGTCACTCAGTCATATCCAACTCTTTACGACCCCATAGACTGTAGCCCACCAGGCTTCTCCGTCCATGGGATTCTCCAGGTAAGAATACTGAAGTGGGTAGCCATTCCCTTCTCCAGGGGATCTTCCCGACCCAAGGATTGAACCCAGGTCTCCTGTCTTGCAGGCAGATTCTTCACCATCTGAGTCACCTCATCTCATTAAGGTTTCACAACATGATGACACTGGCAGGCATGTGATGGCTTTCTTCAGTGTAATTCATGTCCAGTCCAGTCAAGCACTTAAAGTGCACCTTTTTGGGTCACCAACACCCATGGCACCTGTCTTCAAACTTGGGGACCTCAGGCTGCAAAAGGAAAATCAAAAAAGAATCAGTTTTATACTGCTAAAAGAACTCTCCAGAGTGGAGCCAGAGGCCACTGAGGAAGTGATTTATGTCTCTGCCCAGATTGAATCTGACCTTTTGCCCACTTATCGTCTAACAAAGATATTCAGAACATTTGCACAGGGTTGCAGAAATTCAAGATACTTCTCCGGCCCATATCCTAAATAACTGGTCACAAATCCATCCCTTAAAGAGGAATATTTCCTTTTAGTATCAAAGTCAATCATAATTCCTGCAATACAACTTTAACAAAACTTGTGGATTTTGCCTTTATAACTCCCCCAACTCTTTCTCTTCCCCAAACATTCTATTTTGCTAGAACATGTGTATCCCCAGTTGTCATTCCCAAGACCCCAGACAGGGCTCTTTATTATTTGCAGCCTCCATACTGATTAATATCAACTAATCAGGAGAAATATCAATAACCTCAGATATGCAGAAGATACCACGCTATGGCGGAAAGCAAAGAGGAATTAAAGAGACTCTTGATGAAGGTGAAAGAAGAGAGTGAGAAAGCTGGCTTAAAACTCAACATTCAGAAAACTAAGATCATGTCATCCAGTCCCATCACTTCATGGCAAATAGATGGGGAAACTGACAGACTTTATTTTCTTGGGCTTCAAAATCACTGTGGACAGTGAATGCAGCCAAGAAATTAAAAGACGCTTCCTCCTTGAAAGAAAAGCTATGACAAACCTAGAAAACATATTAAAAAACAGAGACATTACCACGCCTACAAAGGTTCGTTTAGTCAAAGCTACGATTTTTCCAGTCGTCAGGTATGGATGTGAGATCTGGACCATAAAGGAGGCTGAGCACCAAAGAACTGACGCTTTCGAACTGTGCTGCTGGAGAAGATGCTTGAGAGTCCCCTGGACTGCAAGGAAATCAAACCAGTCAATCCCAAAGAAAATCAACCCTGACTATTCATTGCAAGGACTGATGCTGAAGTTGAAGCTCCAATTCTTTGGCAACTTGATGCAAAGAGCCGACTCACTGGAAGAGACCCTGATGTTGGGAAAGATTGAAGGCGGGAGAAGGGGACGACGGAGGATAAGATGGTTGGATGGCATCACTAGCTCAATGGACATAAGTTTGAGCAAACTCCGGGAGATGGTGATGAACACGGAGGCCTGGTGTGCTGCAGTCCATGGGGTCGCAAACAGTCGGACACGACTGAGCGAGTGAACAACAAAATACCGATTACTGTTTGGCAAAGCCTGTAGGTTCAGTTACTGCAGTCACCCGGTTGAGCCTCACGCATGAGCCTTACTCTGCAGGGCCCCCGCCCGGAGCCTGAAGCCCACCCTCCTCTCCAGCGGTCCTGCTTCCTTAACCCCTGGGGGAATTTACCTGCCCTACACTCCCAACTCCAAGGCGCCCGGAGGCGGAAGTTGGGGGGCGGGGCCAGCCTGCGCGGCCCGCCCCGGAAGTAGGCGGGTCCTCGCGGGACCCTTGGCGCTCCGCAACCGCCTCCCAGTCTGATTGCGGCTGAGGCCGGTCCTGGCTTTGTAACTCGCTCAAGATGGCGACGCAGCCACCCAGCGGGATCCGCCTCAGCGCGGTGAGCAGCCGCGAGGGGTGGAGCGGGCCGTGTCCCAGGAGGGCGGGCAGGCGGGCAAGCGAGAGCGGGGTGCGGGGGGGGGAGGCCGGCGGTGGGCGGGGGCGGCTCGTCGGCCCGGCACGGCGGCTTGGGGCCGCGGCGGGGCCGGGGCAGGCGGCGGCGGCCATCTCGCTCCCGACGGTTGAGACGCTCGGCGGCGTCGGCGGCGGCGGCAGCGGCGGCGGGCAGGGCCGGGCCGGGCCGCGTCTAGTTTCGTTTCCTCGGCGTTGGGTTTCTGTTTTGCCTCCGCGGCTTCGGGGCGGGGCGGGCAGGGGCCGCGGCCCCTCCTCCTCGGCTCCCTCCCCCGGTTTGCCCTGCAGCTGTCGTCCGAGGGCGAGGCCTCGGGCCCCTGACCCTTTCCCGGCCTCTGCGGACCCTCGGGGCGTCCCGGAGTGCGGGGGGAGTGGCCGTCGGCGGCCAGAAATGCCCCGCGGCCTTGACCTCCTGGCGGCGGGCCCCGGGGTGCTGCGAGCTGGGACTAGTCTTCCTCATTCAATTCAATTCCTGCCGCCTTCCCTCCAGCTTCCCTGGGTGGCTCAGACGGTCAGAGCGTCCGCTCGCAATGCAGGAGCTCCGGCTTCGATCCCTGGGTGGGGAAGATTTCCCTGGAGAAAGGGAATGGTAACCCAGTCCCGTACTCTTGCCTGGAAAATCCCATGGACGGAGGAGCCTCGTAGGTTGTACAGCCCCACGGGGTTGCCAAGAGTCGGACACGACTGAGCGACTTCACTTTTCCCTCCACTGCATCCTTCGGGAGCCCAGATCGCTCCTAGGTGGTCACCGCGCTCTCCCGGTTTGCCCCGTCTCGTCTCCTGGCGGTGTCTCGTTCCGGAGCATCTCGGCCTCTTGGAAATCCTTGAGTGTGTTTTGTACCAGTGCATCTTTTTTGGGGGGGGGGGGTGGTGGAGGGAGCAGTCACACAATAAGTGAAAATTTCGCTGCCTCAAGAGTGTAGGCATGCCCTCCCTACCCGATGCTCCTGGAAAAGTTGGCCTTGTTATGCAAAAATATACCTGTCCTCATCAGGGTGTTTCCTCCGGCCAGAGAATGGCTCTGCCAGTCTCATTATTCGGATGGTAATGAGTGATTGAAGTCGTTCTGTCTTGTCCGACACTCTGCGACCCCATGGACTGTAGCCGACCAAGCTCCTCCGTCCACGGGATTTTCCAGGCAAGAATACTGGAGTGGGTTGCCATTTCCTAATCCAGGAGATCTTCTCGATCCAGGGGTTGAACACAGGTCTCCCGCATTGTAGGTAGACGCCTTACCGTCTGAGCCACCGGGGAAGTCGAATGGTAATACCATTGCTTTAACATGGTATTTTTTCCTTTTGACTTTGATTTGGCGAGATTCCTAACGGACCCCCTTCTATCATCAGACTTTTAACGTTTTTTCCTGATGAGTGTGAAATTTTACTTTACATTTGACTGAGAAGCTGAAAGTTTATCACACTTCATTCACCCTTTTGATTTTGGGTTAAAAGGAACCTTCCTAAAAAAAAAAAAAAACAACCCTTCACATTCCTTGCCCGTTTTTCTATTTTGTTTCTTTTGAGGGGAACTTTTAATTGGTTTATTAGCGTTCTTTACATATCTTTAATAAAGGCTCCTTGGTTCCTAAGTGGTTTATTGAATGAGCTTGTATTTAGTAGATGAAATACAGAGGGCAACTTTATTCTTTCTTACCACTGGCCTTAGACATTGTTGCTAATTCACCTCAGTGAATCTGGACACATCCTAATGCTTTCCAGTTAGCCTCAGGCACTGTTTAATCTTAGAGAAGGAAATGATAACCCACTCCAGTATTCTTGCCTGGAGAATCCCATGGACGGAGGAGCTTGGTGGGCTACAGACCACGGGGTTGCAAAGACTGAGCGACTTCACTTCACTTTCACTGTTTAATCTGGGCTTCCCTGGTGGTTCAGACAGTAGGGTCTGCCTGTAGTGCTGGAGACCTGGGTTCGATCCCTGGGTCGGGAAGGTCCTCTGGAGAAGGAAATGGCAACCCACTCGAGTTTCTTGGCTGGAAAATCTCATGGATGGAGGAGCCTGGCAGGCTGCAGTCCATGGGGTGACAAAGAAACACGACTGATCGACTTCAGTTTCACTTTCACTGTTTAATCATCGGGCTTCCCCTTGGCTCAGATGGTAACGAATCCACCAGCAATGCTGGGGACCTGAATTCGGTCCCCTTGTTGGAAAGAGCCCCTGGAGGAGGGCTTGGCAACCCACTCCAGTTATCCTTGCCTGGAGAATCCCCATGGGCAAGGTAGCCTGGGGGCTATGGTCCATGGGGTCGCAAAGAGCCTGACAGGACTGAGCGACTAAGCACTTTAGCACTGTTAATCTACTTGAGAAGCTCTTCAGTTTAAAGCCCGCTCCTTCCCCTCAGATTGGGCCTAATTCTGGTCTGGAAAACTGTGGTGAGGAAAAGTGAACTGGGTTGTTTTTGGGTTTTTTTTCCCCTTTCCCTTGCTATTTCTGCACTTTGATTCTCTTCCCCACTCCCCAGCCCCTCCCAAGTTGCTGTCTCTGTCTCTTCAGGATTGAGAAGACAAAGGGAGCAAAGATAAGGGTCGGTACAATCTTGAAAGACTGGCACTGTGGTTAGCTGGTTCTCGGGGTGTAGCAGCTGTCCGTGTGCTACATCTTTGTTTTGTGGGTAATACAGACTGTTTTGAAGCTCACTGATGGAAATCTCCTATCTGCAGCTTCTGGACTGTATTCCAGGTGGTCTGTTGCTTTAGGACAGGAGTTGGCAAACTGCGGTTTGTGGGCCAAATCCAGCCTGCCACCTGTTTTTGTATGGCACGAGATCCTTAAATGTTTGGGGAAAAAAAAGATCAAAGAATAATGTTTCGTAACATGAAAATTATGTGAAATAGATATTTCAGTTCCCATAAATAGTTTCATTTTTGAAGGTTTGCTCATCCCTTTGGTATCGCTCTCAGATGTTTGCATTAGGAGTGGAGCTAGGAATTACTGAATTTATGGGTTTGTCAAAAATCATAGAACATAAAGTGACCCATAATGTCTGCAAATTTAAAAAATCACTAGGTCTGTAAATTCTGAGATGGAATGCAGAGTAACAAAAACTTAAGTTTTTGCTTTTTGCCTCCATGATTCTAAGTAAATGCTGATACCATTTTGTTGTTTTCCAGAAATGCTGCTATAGATTTAAGTGACACATATGCACACTCTTCAGTTCACTTTTTCTTTTGGTTGAATTACCATATGATTTATTATCACTCTTAGCATTATTCAGACATGAGCCAGCCAAAACTATGATTGCTTTTTCTTTGCTGTGGAGCTTTGTGTTTTCCTTGAAGTTAGTAATTGATTTGTGTTTGTTTGCTTAGTTTTTCTCTGTACTGATTACTCTTTCATCCACTCTTTCAGAGAACTGGAAAATCTTTGCCAGATGTGTTCAAGCACACCCAAATTTTGTCATTTTTGCTGGCTCAGTTGTGAGTTGGCGACTTCCCTTTATCATTTTTATGGACATTTCCTTCCCCTTTCCTTTGTTTCTCCTTCCCATCACATATTCCTCTTCTGGGGTTTACTCTTGGCCGCCAGCAGTAGCTTAGTGACTGAGAGCATGGGTTCTGGAGCGCATTTGCCTGGGTTCAAAGTCTGACAGGTAACTGGATGTGTGACCTGAAGAGAGAATAATCATCTTACCACCTAAAAGGGCTACTTTAAAAAGTAACTGAGCCAATACACATAAAAGTCTTTTATAACGTCCTGTGCATGCCATAAATACTCAGTAAACATTTGCTGTCTTTGTTCCTGTTAACAGTGAAGCCTGTCCATTTTTCCAAAACCTGGTGTAGCTTCTTGAGAACAGAGTACATGGGAAGAACATTTATGTGTCTTTTCTTGGAAATATATTTATGCTACCCTTGCTCTTTCTTTACATATAATTTGGCTGGGCTTGCAATTCTAGATTAGAAGTGATTTCTTGTCAGAATTTTCAAGGCATGCTTTATTGTTTAGTAGAGTCCTATGCATTATATTGGGGTTCCCCTGGTGACTGAGTTGGTAAAGAATCCCCCTGCAATGTGGGAGACCTGGGTTTGATCCCTGGGTGGGGAAGATCCCCTCGAGAAGGGAATGGCTACCCACTCCAGTATTCTTGCCTGGAGAATCCCCATGGACAGAGGAGCTGGCTGGGCTACAGTCCATGGGGTCCCAAGGAGTTGGACACAACTGCGTGACTAAGCACATATGCAGTACACTGTTCTGGTACTTAGGCTAGAAACCTGTAATAATATCAGGGAAATTTTCTTAGATTTTTGACAGCAATTTCCCGTCTCTTTTTCTGCTTTTGTTCATCTTCTGTTTTCCTTCAAATTGCTTTTTCTTTTCTTTTTGGGAGATTTTCTCCGTTTGATCTCCTACCTTTTACCATGTATTTAATTATTAGAAACCTTGTCTTGTTCTCTAGAAACATTGTCTTTAGAAAATCACAACAAAATATTTGTTCTTGTCACTGGCTGTATTATTCATAGTATTTTTGAAGTTTTCTTTTGTTCATTGCCTCTGTCTTCTTCATGTTCTTTTTACTGTGTGTTTTTTATTCTAATTTTACACATTCTCAAGTGTGCTTATATTTCCAGATGAGACACTAAAAGCTGGATGTTTATACCTGAGTAGAGCTTGTCGTTCGGTGGGTTTCAGTATTGGCTGATCGGGTAGGAAGAGCCAGCTTGTTGTTGGAGTACTCTGTGTCAGAATCTGTTGATCCTAGAGAATAAAAATGTTAGACCAGAAAAATAAGGATGTTTAGAATAACTTTGGGGCTTCCCTGGTGGCTCAGGGATAATGAATCCACCTACCAATAGGAGTTAATTAGGACAATGTGGCGGGGAGGGGAAAGCAGTCAAAAAGCAAGGAATTATCATTCCCCAAATCTGTCTTCCCTTGTCTTAGGAGATTCGGGTTCTATCCCTGGGTCAGGAA